GCGCCCCGGGGGGGCCGCGGAGCCCGCAGGACGAGAGAGCAGGGGAGAGAAAGGCAGAAGAGAGGCAGGTCGCACTGAGTGGACCTGACACTAGTAGCCATTTAGCTTAGCATAAAGACTGGAAACAGGTTGTAGGTAGACTTTAGGCATTTAGTTTAACATTAGGCTTAGACATTCACAATTAATTAATGAAACATACACATTTGGTTACTTTTGTATTGTCAATACATTGTTAATGTGTGTAAATTTTCTTTTTGAGTTACCGTGGTAACTCTTAGTCCATGGATGAGGGACATCCTGGCAAAAAGATTGGCAGCAGCAGGTTTAAATACCTCCCACTAGGCCTGGACTGCACCAAGTGCTCGATACAGGAAAGGGGGGAGTTTGGGAGAAATATATAGTCTGTTTGTAGTTTTTGTTAAAACTTTACTTGTCATGAGCTCAGGGGCAGTGGCGGTGGCTCAGGAGGTAGAGCGGGTCGTTTCCTAACCGGAGGATTAGCAGTTCAATTCCCGGTTTGTCCAGTCAACATGTCGAAGTGTCCTTGAGCAAGACACTGAATCCCCAGTTGCTCCCAGTGATGTCACCGGTGTGGGAGTGCGAATGGGTGAATGGCCGAATGATGTGAAAGCGCTTTGAGTGTGCTGTAAAAGCATAGAAAGGCGCTATACAAGTATAATACCATCTACTTGCTTTTTTGGATCTAGAGAAAAATATTTAGTTGTTAGTGGGCTGTTCCCCATGTGTATCACTTGTCAGGTTTAAATGCTGTGTCTTCTGCCTTACTGGTCCTTGACATCCAAACTAAATTAAATCTGTTGATCAACAGGTTTTTACATAGATTTTATTGATCGAGTCATTTTACAAGGGATTTAAATGCAGTTATTTTATGTGTGAAGTTTACAATTTGATACTAATGTGAAAATAGTGTGTTTGTTAAATTTTAAACCATTAACACTCGTCCCTGGAAAATCTGACCACAAAGATCCTCACAGAAAACAATGCTTTGACTTCAGATATGCGGGCTCGTGTTGAAAGCTCATAAACGCAACATCAACTCCAGTCGCCTACTCTGAACAAGCTGCAGTGACGATGTTGAGGTAAATGACTCAAATGAAGCATCAGCTTTGGAAGCAGCTGAATGTGTCACAGCATGTAAGTACATTTGAAACAAGTCAGCAAATCTATAAGAGCTTACTTTTAAATGTCACATCTCACAAGAATGAAATGTGCTACAGTGCACACAATAATGGGGACACTTGTTATGAGTAATAGTTTTGTTTGGAGGTGGATTGATTGGCACTGCATGCTGTGTATTGTGTGTTTATGTCTTATTGTTCAACATATGGAACATTTTAATAAAGGCAGTTACATCATTTATTATTGTTTTTCAACATGCTTTTAAGGGACTGTTCACTAAGTGCTGGGTAATTGCTGTTCATTGTTTCATTTACATTGCTTTTAAAAGGTGCATTGTGTAGCGGAGTTATAATTCCATTTGCCATAACCTAAATAATTTGTTGCAATGGCATTTTATTTTGTTACTCCCTCCAGAAGTGAGATGTGTGTGGTGGTAATAGATTGGGGTGCCCCTGCAAACTTGAGGGGGTGCAGCCCGTGCTGGTTCCTTATTCATAATAAGTAAGTGCGGTTCAATTGGCACCAGGTGCCATACACTCTAACGGAGGTAAGTTGCGTTCACATCATTGCTGCTATAATAGCATAGCATGACAATTGGTACCTAAGTCTAAAATTGTTTTTGTTCCCTTTTAGTTAATTTGAATGCCACGAAGCTAAAGCTGTTCTGTTGTTATATTTTCCTCTGTACCAGGTATTGTGCCTTTTAATTTATTTTATACACAAACCAGTCTGCCATACACTCTCATGAAGTTAATTTGAATGCCACGGAGCTAAAGCTGTTCTGTTGTTATATTTTCTTCTGTACCAGCAATAAAGACATTTGTGGCTGAAAGATTGTCTCCAGCCGGGTCAATCACAACGCAGAGTACCTCGACACAGGTGTGACGAAATCAATCCGCTACAATTGCACCAATTTTGCCGAAACAGCTGAGCAGTATCATTCATTACTCTGTAAACATGGGTGTGTACCATCTTCTGTGGCTCTGGAGGAGCTTTCACAAGTCTGAGAAAATAATCTTGTCATCTCCGTGCAGATTCTCAGTCATCCAGGTCATAGTAAGCTGAAAAAACAGGAAGATGAATCCAAGAAAACTCTGATGACAAGATTAGCTGAAAAAACTTAGAAAAAAATCAACTGGACTAGATTTTTAGGTCAAAGACGTTTCACCTCTCATCCAAGAGGCTTCATCAGTTCTGCCTGACTGGCATTGAGTGCCCCACCAATGGGGATAAATATCTCCGACTCAACACCAGTTGGGCAGAACTGATGAAGCCTCTTGGATGAGAGGTGAAACGTCTTCGACCTAAAAACCTAGTCCAGTTGATTTTTTTATAAGTTTTTTCAGCTAATCTTGTCATCAGAGTTTTCTTGGATTCATCTTCCTCATCATACAGATGATTGGAGATGCACCCAGCCCAGCACTACAGTACTTATACACCTAAACTGTCATTGTGGGTGGCTGTGGTTTTGTGTGAACAGCTTACACTGAGCTACTGTGCACTGGCTGAATGATATTTAAATACAGGGCTTATGGTCCCGTTACACCGAATCAAGATGATGTAACAGTATTCACCAGTAATGAAAACATTGCTCCTCTACAGTTTTAGTAAACCTGAGGGAAGCATAACCTCACATTTTAGACTGAATTAAAATCTGACGACTTTCAGGCCAAATAAAATAAGATTTTAGAAAATGCTAATCAGTATTCCTGTTGAATTCTACAGATTTGTTTTTTTTTTGAGAAACAAAGTATCATTTTACTTTACAGGGTTGTCATTTTTAAAAACATCTTAGGATGTTAACTGGAGGGAATCATATTGTGGTAATGAAATTAAAAATAGAGGAAGTTCTGAAAGCTAGTTATAACTTTAAATTATAATAATTGAACAGCTAAGTGAGACATGACAGCATTGAAAAAAAAAGCTAATTCTTGCAGAATCTGTAAATTTTTAAACCTATCTAAAAAACATCCTTTAATACTAATCACCCATTTGTTTTACCTTTTGTTCTTTTGTTTATCTATTATTTGTTTATGTCACCCTTTGACAAAATGTTTCAGGTTAACACTTTTACCAGCCAGTTTAAGTTTTAACCACTTTAATATAATAAAGATGAAGGTTTTACCTACAGGCGACATCTATGACATTTGTGGTGTAGTCTTCAGTGCAGTACTCACCTGTAGATTGTGTACTCATTCGGTGGTCCCGAGACAGGGTCACTGCCATTTCTCTTTCCAAAGTTGCCAGTCCACAGAACGGTATCATTTAAAATCACAATGGCAGACAGAGCAGGGAGGCTGATGGGGTTTATGCTCTGCCGAAGCAAAACGTCCACCTGGAAAAGACATGGCACAAAAAAAGAAGTTATTCTGCAACTGTATCCAGCTTTGATGGGTGACTGCTACATAAACCTTAGAGGATGACAAAGACCCTGCTTCCAATTGTTATGCAAAGCTATGCTAAGTTGGCTGTGGCTTAATTTTTTCTCTACAGATATAAGAGTGGTATTGATCTTCTCAAACTCCTGGCAGGGGGGGAAAAAAGGGTATTTGCCTAAATATTTGTATATAAACTACTGCTTTAATTAAAATATTGCCATGTTTTTCTTTCCTTTATATAAAAAGATTGTTTCGCATCTTTAAAAAAAGCATAAAATTGAAGTCCTGGCCCTGTACTCTAGCTAAAATGTTCAGGAGGAGGTTTTATAATATTTATGTAAACAAATCAAGAACACAGTATCAAATCAAGTGAAGCGCTTTTGTGGTCCTACATCACTGTTATTAATAGCTTCACCCATAATTAGTGAAAATGATTTAGACCATTAAACCTCAAATTAAGATAAATATTAAAAAACTTAAATTGATAAAAAATATGGTAGATGGACTTGTATAGTACCTTTCTATGCAAGAAAGCACACTCACGATGTGTCAAACTGTTAGCCTATTCACCCACACAGATGCTCACACACCAGTGATGTCACTGGGGGTAACTCGGGGTTCAGCATCTTTCCCCAGCACATTTCAACGTGTGGATTGAACCACCAAGCTTATAGTTAGGAAACAACACGCTCTACACCCTAAACCACAGCTGTTTCAAAACAAAAGTGTGGCCTCAGTTTATGCAAGACTCTGTAAAGCAAAGTAGGTGAAGTAAGTTTTTCATGTCAGTTTCCACAGCCACAGTTACCACAACTGTGCCTCTTTACTGTGACGTAAACAATTTCTGCCTCATGTTGAAATAATAATATGAACATGCCTGCCCATCAGCAGCTCTGTCATTGTGTACACAAACATCACTCACTTTTCCTTCCTCTAAATATAAGTTTTATTCACTATTGTTCGTTTAAATGCTTGATGCTGAATGTCTCAAGCCTGCATGTAGCCTTATGTTGTTTTGTTGTGTCTGAGTTGAAACTTCAACCTTCAACAGGCTAGCTTGTCAGCATCTGTTCACTCTAGTCTTTCTCATGCAAGCTTTTCACAGTATGGGCAATCAGTAACATAGCTGGAAAGCTTCTGCTTGTCTTTAATGAGTGAACTTTTAATGCTGTTCCTTTAATGTTGATGCTCTTTGGCTGATCAGCGGGGAACTCTGCTGCTCCCTGCAAACAAAAACAACCCTTTGCTCAGACAGATGTTTTTCATCCAACATATCTTTAATCTCCTTCTGTCAACTGCAGTGGCATTTGGTGTGAAGAATTACTACGGTCAGATTTTTTGAGTCTTGAATGGGCATGATGGAAACATGAACGCAGACCTAAAAGTTTGCTAGCAGAATGACTCCCCTCACCTTTTCCAGGGCCTCTTTCAGTCTGGGGAGAGGATGCTCCAGTGGGAGGGTCTCTGGGAAGCGAGGACACATCAGCTCTGATTTGGCATTGGGACCCATTATTTCATCTGGGCAGTGGGTAGAAAATTTTAAAAAAGCAACAAATTAAAAGCTGTTTATTGTAATTTACACTTGATATTTGATAGAATAATGCAGTGATGGCACAGAAGCTGACATGCTCTGATACTGCTCTTCATTAATTCTCTCTGCTTCCTGATGAACCTTGACTTGATTTGACAAGATATACAGCTTGCTAACCAAAAGAAATAAACACCTGATGTTCCTTTACTCCTAAACCTGGGCAATACTTTGGAGAATAGAACATTTTTTAACCAAATCAATAGCACCACTTGTGCAGCTGGAGGGATGATACATTCTAGCGCTGTGTCTGACATCAACACTGATTTCCAGTAGTGAAGGTATTATAAAAGGCATTATAATTTAAAACATTTTACAGTGTTGTCTGTAACCTTTGATTTTCAAGTATTGCCAGAGAAAATGTGTTCCAGTTCCTCACCCATTTTTAACTGACACTGCTTTCTGAAATCTTGCACTTGTCAATTATAGATACTCACAGAAAGCACCACAGCTGTTGGTTCACATTTTAGCAGGTTAACACTATCTCACAATTACCAATTAAAGATTATACATTTAAGAGATATGGTAGTTTTATCTTAATTACAAGATCTTTATCTCTTGTTTGTGTAGAAATTGAGATTGAGGGCTGCTGCAGTCAGATCAGATAGGACAGAGCATCATCTAGAGTTGTACTGTATCAGTGAGCAAACAGCTACTGCACGTTGTGGTGTCAAACATAACAGACAGAGAAGAACCCACAATAACAAAATGACAGTCTCACTGACACTGAGATTTTCAGTTTATTCTAAGTATTAATTTGGCTGTAACAAAGTGCAGTAAGCTTAGTACTTTTGCGTTGTAAATTAACAAATGTTAAATTGCATGCTAATGGAATAAAAATGCTCTCTTAGCCCACAACCACTGTGTTTTCTGTCAACACCACAGCTGTTCTGAGTTGAGCCACTTCATATGCAACACACCTTTATTTGAAGGAGTGTGTGGTTTGGTGTTGTTGCTCAGTTATCTTAGTCTGAAAAAGGTCTTAATTTACAATCTATTAGTTAGCTCTAAGCCAGTCCTTGTGACAATACCCCTGGGGCAGTTTGAAAATAATAAATCGAATACCAGTATCAGCATATGCCAAGACAAAAGTTACTTATAGCTTCAAAACATTTTTTAAATTAAGAGCAGCAGTGTTTTATAGGAACAAAACCCTCATGTTATGTGATTCATCACCTATGACCAACAGTGCTGGCCTGACCTGGCAGAGCCTTTGGCAGCTGATATTGCCAGAAGAAGCATCCTGTCATCACCAGTGACAGAGTAAGGAAGAACGCTACACTCAGCTGGGTCCATTTCACCTTCATCCTGCTGGCTCTCTTGAGTCCTTCCAATTTAACAGTGGCAGCGGGAGCACTTGGCTTGAACACAGACATACACAACAACACACAGTAGGTTTGTACCAAGCGTGGCCAGTTACAGTATTAGGTTATAAATACCTGAAAATGTTTTGCACATTTTCAGCTTCAGACCAGACATTATCCTCCATTTTATCTGTTGACATCAGTTACAAAAAAAAAATAAAGAGACAGACCTTGTTCACTATACAAGTTGCATTTAACAGTACTCACCACCTGATGCTTCACAGGCCAGAACAGGAAGGATTATCAGTGACAGAAATTAATCAGCATACTAAACCTCTACTCAAATTTCATTCCACAGTGTATGGAAGCAATTCTTACACCTCAGCAGCAGTAAATGGTGTCCCATGCAGGTTTTCCTGAGCAGGAGAAAGACATAGGCTTCCATCTCTGACTGTGCTGTAATCCTGGGCCATCAGCTCTCCTGTGCCTCACAATTCAATTTCCTCCCCAGCAGCCACAGGCTGTTGACATCATAATCCCCGGATTACCAAAGCGGTCGGGAAAATCTTAATCCTAATCCTTGTGAATCAGATCACTTGAGGTCAGCTTTGCCTTGTGTAAACCCATCAATGAGCTGCCTGAGCCAGTGGCGCCCACACTCAGACAAACACTGGGTCAGGGTGATATGGTGCATCTCTCAGCCAGAGCAGATCCCTTCAGTGCAGCAAATTTGGATGAAATGGGTGAGGGAACAACAGACATTTTGGGAACATTAAAGGGAATTTCGATACTGATCAAAGACAAATCCAGTCCAACATATTAATTCTTATCACTGCCACCTGATACATAGAATGCACAACAACATCCTGACTGATAAAGGAATTTGTGCAAAAGCAATTAGGGTAGTACAATTTTTGTCAGTTTCAAATGTTAAATAATATGAAAAAATGTAAAAAAAATAAGTCAACTGGACTTGATTTTTTTTAGATCGAAGACGTTTCACTTCTCATCCAAGAGGCTTCATCAGTTCTGCCCAACTGGTGTTGAGTCAGAGATATTTATCCCCATCATTGGTGTTTCAGTCCTTTGATGCCCAACAGTGTCCCCTAACGACTGAGTCGTTATAGCACAGTATCGGTGAACGTCGTTACCTGTCTTTGAATCCTCACCTGTGGACTGACGCCCATTGTCGACAACTTCCGGGTTGCGGCGAGAGCAGACGTCTTTACTGCTCCTCTTGTCTGTTCTACGACTTTTCACATCTTCTACATTGTCAAGTCTTTGAACAAATTCTACAACTATTAAAATGCCTCCAAGAGGGAAAAGAGCTAATAAACCAGAAGCGAGCGAGGATGTTGAGGATGAAGAGGATTATATTTCAGTGGCGCAAGTAGCTGAGATGTTGAATCAGCAGAAGCTGATGTACACCGCACTTATGTGCCAACAGCAAGAAAGCTTCCAAGGCTTTGTGAAACTAATGATGGAGACAAATAACAAGAGACTCGACGACATGACCAAAGAAATGCAGGCGATAAAAACGAGTTTGCAGTTTACCCAGCGAGATGTGGACGCGATTAAAGCGGCCGTGGGGGTGCAGGAAAAAATTGCCGAAGACACTAGGCGGGACGTCTACAAAACCCGTGAGAGTCTAATAACTAT